GGGGTGGGACTAAGTCCCTTGTACTGCGGCCACTTCTGGCCTATTGTACCAGCCCCAGATGATAGGTGAGGGTGATTGAGGAGCAGTTGGTGGAATGAAGATTGGCAGGGGAAACCGAAGTACCCGGGAGCGAACCCGGGCCGCCGCGATGGGAAGCCAGCGACTAACTGCTTGAGCTATGGCGCGGCCGTAGGATCTAGTTGGTACTGCCATTGCTAACACTGTTAACGTATTGTGATGCACGGTCCTTTTCATGACTAAGTTGCTATTCTGTACAGTCGATTGAGAAGGGGCTACTGTAGGATGCAAAAGTTACAAAAAATAATTTCCTTCCTAATCTGTATATATATATATATATACAGTACAATATATAATTCTAAAATAATTACAAGACATGAATATAATATTTTGAAAATAACTTAAAGCAGTTTAAAATTTCTTTTCTCACATTTGTTCTTAGTAAATCACTTATACCTCAGATTATGGTCGTCTGGGCTGCAAGATTATGTAGTTTTGTAAACAGATACCGACGTTTCGGAAATACATGTCGCCTCCAATTTCATGGGTTGAAATATACTGAGTGGCAAATCTGTTGAAAGTCACTTTCGATGGATCAGAATCACAACTTTTCTTGTAAATTGGCTTTGTAAGCCAACTGATTATTTTCTAGGCAGTTCAACCCTGAAAATGGAGACAGAATATTCCTCCGAGATGTCTAAATTCGCCTACAAGAGTATACGGCGTCACAAGCGAGAGGACCACAATCTGAAAAATTAAAATCTCAACATCTGTGCCCCTCTCTCGGTGCTCCTCTGCTTGTACTTGAGAACATTTCATAGTTTCAATGTCCTTCTTACTGTAATTAATATTAAACTGAAACTCGTTAGAGCTGAGTTTTATGTAACACTTATGAACGAATGTGCTATTTTACAGAGACGGTGATGTGCCTGACGGGGGACCCACACCATACGGAATCTAACATAGCACAGAAGAAACAGCACTTCGGGATTTATTCCTTTTTATATAATGTTTCACGCTTTGTAATAAGGACATGGATTCGTTTCTCGTCCACAGGCCATTATTAAGAAACATGACGTGTATTTTATCAGTATAAAGTTTTCAAATGTTGTTCCCCCTTCATTTCAAAACAGCCAATGTGACCAAGTTTCAATTTAACGTTGTCAGAAAAATGTATGCTCCAAATTGATAGTTCTCTTTTCAAAATCTCCTCACATATTATGATATACGGCAGAGATGACACAATTACTTTTGCAGATATCTATTTCAAATTTAAGTTTACTGTCTTCTGGCGTGTTAGCCATGCAATTTCTTAAACAGGCACCAGACGAACCTACGGCTTCTATCTCCAGATTAGGAGATCAACTTAATTAACTTTTATTCTATTCCGTGAGGTGTATTTTGAAAGTAATACACTGGGACATCAATACCCAATATTTCAGTTACCATAATTAAACACAATAAGTAGAACTGTCATTCTTTTTACTTATTTTACATAAAACCCATGCATACGTCAATGAAAATCTACTGAACGCTGAAAAGCGTAGTTCTTTAATAGCTTTTGTTGTATTTATTGATCCATGAGATTAACTTCCTTGATCACGCGAGTAGTGCTATTCTATTTTCAACATGTGCCTCAAAATGCCACGCATTTTTATACAACTGACATTCTGTGTAAAATAGTTCTTTTACAGAAAAATGCACAATAATTTTGCTCAAAAACATGAACACTTTCCACGACCTGGGACCATAAAATGAAGCCTATGATTTGGGTCTCTCTGTCTTCGAATGTCTCTTCTTCTGAAGTGTTAACTACAATTGTTTAAACTAATCCTTGTGTATATAATGTTTGTGTTGAATTTATGTTTTTACTATATACTGTCGTTATAATAAAGTGTTTTTTTATATTTGGGATGTTCTCTTTCCTTCCCTCTGCACAATATATTGTTTGTTTAAAACTCATTCTAAATTCCTTTCTGCCTTAACACATGTTTAGAAACATGAAACATTTCCTGTGGTAACATAACTAGAATACAATTATCTTGTTTCCTTCATTTATAAAAGAAAACTCGCAGACCTAATTGTATTACTGAATATCTTGTACCACTGTACTTGTTGGTTATGAATGAAAAGTTTTCTTTAACCAGACTTTTAATACACTTTAAAAAGAAGGGCCAGTCTGCAGTAAAATATAAATATTTATAAAATTTGGTCATAAGCATGAATGTAAATGATTCCATGGAAGACCTAATCATAGATTGGTGGATATTATTAAAATAGGTATTAAAATAATTTTTAATTTATATATCCTGTTTTGTGTAGGCATTAGCTAGGTATTAATAATCTTAGCACAACTTATGTTACGTGAAACAATAATAAACTGTTTATCTAAAACTACTGCATGCTTCGACAGCTTTGGCCAACATCTGGCAGTGTACACCAAAGAGGAAACCAGTGTATCGGATTGCTACCCCGCTAAAGTGGACTCATTTTCAACCCTTAATAGACTTAAGAAGCATTGCCGTACAATGGATTACATACGGTGCACACTCTATGAATTTTTTATTTACAAGATTTGTTGATATTCGTCGATTATGAATGTGTACTGTATTAAAATACAGACTGAGATATTTGAAATATGTACATTATTTATTATGTACGTAAGTATTGTGGAGTTCGAATTGAGGTTAATATCTTGCAATTTTGTTATGAAATTTCGAAATATTAATTCGTGCCTATTATTTTTAAACGCTTCTTCCTGTGAAAATGAAAGAGCCACAGGCTGGTGAGAGGTAAAGGTAAGGCTGCCCCTGTGCTCAAGCAAGCTCTGAGCCACGAACACGTATGAAGGGACTGTGACATACTTCGATACTGTATGGAGGCGAATGGTCAGCTTCACGCCCCGGATGTTGTGTACTCGGGGATGGAGCTCCCTATACGGATTGGAGGAAACTGGCTGGGCATTGAACCGGCCTTAACTCTGTACAGAGGAGTTGTTTATGCTTTACTAGAGAGTCTAGAGGGAACTCTATGTCCTGTAGAGAGACTTGCTAACTGGCATATGCTCCTCACTTATTCCGACATGTTCCTGCATACATTCGCATTTCAAATTCTTGGAAACCTCTGGCTGAATGCGAAACAAATATAAGAAATAAAGAAATTTTGAAGATAAATATTTAAAATACTAACATTCTTCTAAGGCACAACAGACCACTGTAGGTCGCGGTGCAAGGGCCAAGAAGGCCCATCCCTTCAACATTCTTCTAAATAACCCACAAAAATTAATTTAGTGGGCGCATGGTATAAGGCATGAACTGTATTAGCCCGCTCAAACACTGGGGTTGCGGGTTCGAGCCTCATTCGAGGCATGGTATTATTCGTCGTTTATTTTCTGTTTGTATTGTTCTGTCTGTAAGTAGCTGCCCTGCGACGGGCTGATCCCCAGTCCAAGGAATCGTACTGACTGTGCATAGGAATCAAAAAGTGAGAAAGCAGCCAAGGTAAAAAAAAAAGTCTATAGAGCCATAGATAGATAGATAGATAGATAGATAGATAGTTGTTCTCGGTAGGTAGCGGCCCTGCGAATGACTGATCCCCCACCAAGGAGTCCTACCGACTGTCTATATATTTAAAATAGTCCAAACAAACAGAGGCCAAAGTTCATCATTTACTGTAGCGCCACGCAGTAGTAGTGGTAGTAGTAGTAGTAGTAGTAGTAGCAGCAGCAGCAGCAGCAGCAGTAGTAGTAGTAGTAGTAGTAGTAGTAGTAGTAGTAGCAGCAGCAGCAGCAGCAGTAGCAGTAGTAGTAACAGCGTCTCAATGGAAACGTTACTTCTCCGCTACAAACGCCAAAAGGTTAAAGCTGTTAAGAAAAATTACCATGCTTAACAACTAAAACCAGTATGTGGCCAGGATGCAGAATTTCTGTGTATTAGAATAAATGGTACATTTATGGATTTATGTATAAAAGGGTTGGCCCTTCTCGGCACTTGCACCACGACCTACAGTGGTCTATTGTGCTTACATTTATGGATCATTAGGTTCTAAAGAATTAAACAAAATAAGATTATCATCATCAGTTAATCTGCCAGACGACAGGTCCACAGTCTCTTCCAAAACAGTTCCTCCACTTAATGCGATCTAGAGCTTTCTCCTTCAAATGAAAATAACCTCTTCTGTCCCCAAGGTCATCCAGCTTCATCTTACGTCTTCTTCCTCGTCTTCTGGTCACTTCTATCCGCTCCTCTATCTTCGCATACATGGTACCCTACACTAAAACATGGGCTTGAAACTCACTTTTCTTTAAAGATGAATTGCTGCCTGTCATAAGAAATGATTTAATGGTTACCTTTCTTACTATTATATGTGAGCATCCTGCTGCACTGAAGTACTGTATCACTCGTTCATTCATTTTTGTCTCTAACGCAAACTAAAACTTTGTTCACAATCTCTCTTTTATTTAAAATAGCATTAGAAGCACATCAATTGCTACATGTTTCAGCCCCAGTTGCCAGAAGATGGACAAGTGGGGCCGAAACATGTAGAAATTGACGTGATTTTGATGCTATTTTAAATAAAAGAGAGATTGTGAACAAAGTTTTAGTTTGCGTTAGAGACAAATGAATGAGCGTGTAATATTATTCTTAACTTAACAATCCAGATTTCCTCTGCATTATCAGTTTATCTTAAATCAGGGTGTGTAATACATACAACGAGGGTTATGATGATAGTGATAGGCGTTTAGCTCAGACTGCTAGTTCAGTTGCTTTGAAAGCCTCCGATTCTCAACCGCCTGCCAGGATCGGAGGGTTTTTTTTCCCGTTACAAACATATACGAAGTTACATACAATGGCATTAGAAGTCAGGAACAGGAAATTGTTATATAATATAGGTCTATATATACTTTCAGTTTTCACAAATATTCTGAGGACAAAGGCGTAAAAAGATTGAGAATCGTTGCCTTGAAGAACTCTACGTTAGAAACAAAGTAGTTTATTTATGCTTAATGTACAAAACAAGTATAAAATATAACAATAATAAAACAAGAAATAATGGTGTGATGAGACTAGTAAACATGACAGGCGAAGCCCCAGAAGTTCACCGTCTGTCTGGGAGCAACCCGTATTATTGTGTGGTGCGAAAGGTGGAACTGAGGAATGCTACATATATACAACACTGCGTAATATACAATAAGTGAATTCCATCGTTGAATGAAATCTCTGCTGTTGTACTGTACAAGTCAATTTGATTTTGTTTCATTGGTTATCACTTCACATATTTTCCCTTTAATCCCAGCCATGGCCACCACCTCCACCGTAACCACCGCCTCCATGGCCACCACCTCCATGACCACTGTCTCCATGTCCACCTCCGAATCCACCCCCGTGTCCGCCTCCATATCCACCTCCGAATCCGCCGCCATGTCCACCTCCGAATCCACCCCCGTGCCCACCTCCGAATCCGCCGCCATGTCCACCTCCAAATCCACCGCCTCCGTAGCCACCGTCCCCATGACCGCCTCCAAAACCACCGCCGTGGTCATCTCCTCCATATCCTCCATGACCGCCTTCGTGTCCTCCATCTTCGTACTTCACTGCTACTACTTCGTAGCCACCGTGACCACCTCCATGACCACCTCCGCCATGTCCTCCACCTCCACTGTGGCCGCCACTGGGCACTTTAATGATCTTATAGATGGTGTGCGTGTGGTGGATGTGCTTCACTTTCAGGGGCACATGAATAATTACCTTCTTCCTGCAAAGTATCAGCCAGACATCAGCATTGTTCGCGACATACAGAGTGTTTCACGACTTTCGGGCATAACTGCAGGAGGTGATTTCCTAGATCTTTGTGATCAAAAAAGTGCATATAAACATGTGTCCGATTTTGGACGGTTACGGAGTTATGACCGTTTTAAACTCAGAATAGAAGGTAACGATTACTGACAATAAACGGAACAAAATAATAAACCAGCATAATACATGATACATTTAAAGTATGAATGTAAAGTTAACTTCGTGAAATTACCTTTAACTTGAATTGATTGGTGTTTAAAGCTGATTTTCGAAAATGCCACCACCGGCCGCAACGCACGCTGCCGCTCGGTTGTTAACCGCGCCGGACATATCAACCCACCACGCCTTAGGTAGCACTCAAGTGTCGAGATAACGAGAACGCTCTGTCTGTAGCTGGCTAAAAATAGCGACCCGCCAGCTGACAGACGCGGTTCACACGAGAGCGTGTACGGCAATGAAAAACGGTCTAATTCCGCAACCGTCCAAATTCGGACACATGTTTATATGAACTTTTTTCATCACAAAGATCTAGGAAATCACCTCCTGCAGTTATGTCATAAAGTCGTGAAACACTCTGTATATCTTACGCCACGATGGTGCAATCCTCATTACTTACCCTCCGCCATGCCCCCCTCCGCCTCCAGCATGAACAAGTCCAAAGAAAACCAAGAAAACTGCAGATACCAACTGAAAAATAAAACAAGAATGCATAAATATATCAGCAGCAAATGCCTGGAATGTTCTGCCCATTTGCAGTTTTTCGATGTAGGATCTAAAAATACGAAAAATGATTTTGAACTGACTAGGGCACTTCATTTATGCAAACATGGATAATCGCGTCCTTAAAAATTATAGATACTGAAATAATTTGCTACATGTGCTTGATACTGTAAACTACACATACTTATTAGTAAATGTTTCGGCATCCTTTGTTGACGATGTGGCACGTTAATTAGGAAACATGTTGGGACCTCCTCGTGATTATACTGTTGCTATAAGAAATTTTGCAATGAAATATTTCCAGACCTGATCTTTATGGTATAGATTATTTGGTACTTGTGCGTTTTGGCACATATTCTTGATTTTATATAATTCTTAGAAATTTTCTTGATTGTATGAAACGTTTAACTGTGAAATACTAGGACGACATCTGCGAAATGCCTATTTGGATTCTTCATCCTCTAATAATCGTCTTAAGAATCAAACATATCGACATTCTTTGGATATATTCATCCTTTCATCGTGATTGTAGTTTGTCGTCCGCCATTTTGTTGTTACAGCTGTGAATACGGTGACAATATGGCGGTGATCGCAACAGCAGGACTAGATCCGCTTGTCTTTCCACTTAACGTGGAAATACGCAAGAAATCCGGATTGATGTCACATATCAGAAATGACGTATCTAGGTCGTTTTAACTAATCGACTTATATGTGATACATGTCAGCGATATGGAGAGAACAAGATTATTTAAATAATTGTAGGACAATTTTTCTCCTACTCTCGTACAACACGATGAAAATTTTACACGCCAGACATAGGAATGCAGTAACAAAAACTCAAGAAATCTCACGTGAACTAGAGCAACAAAAGGTGACAAAGAAATGCAAAAGTTCCCGGCGAACTAAGTCATTGACTGTTCCCTGGAGACATTCATTTCGTTACAGGAATACGCAAACGTTCCATGCATTTTTACATTGTGAATATTCCTAGCTATTACAAACAGATTTCATAAACACGTCAAAAATATTCGCTCTCGCCCCACAAGTTCACCTTTCGGTCATGTTCGCATTATTGGCTGTTGGAAGTTAAAAAGTACGAGACTGCAGTAGCCTCAGTATCATAATGTGCATACCAGGTGCCATGCGTTACGTTTGTGAACGTCTTAGTATTAAGAATAATCACATGTGGCACAGTGCAGTTCAGGATCCTGAAGCTCTGGGCCTTTCTCCCACTGATAGTGCTAGAAGATATCTTCCTAACACGTCACCATATAAGTTATAGCGATCAAGTTACAAAAATGTATCAATAATTATTCTATCTTCAACAGTTCCCTATATTTTTATATCCAGTCTTCCTTAATCAATATTGTATACTTTTAATGTGTTTATCAGCCTACAAAATCCCAAATAGAGCTCCTACATCATAGAGTTGTTTCTACCCGGCAAAGACGCACGGTGGACATATACTGTTGACCAAGATGGGGAGACACGCAGTGGCATAATATTCATGACGAGTGTCATGAAAAGAAACTCATTATTATCTATTATATTTAAAATTATGTTGAATCGAAGGAATGAACAGAAAATTTTCAACCCGTTAAAACGGTTCGAGATAGGAAACTCTGCAATTAAAAGCTTTTATTTTCTCTGTCCCTTTCTCCTTTCTTACTGGAGTGAGACAGTGCACTGGGCACTGCAGCCACATCTGCCCCATGGTACCAGCTCCAGATGACAGATGACGATGATGATTGTGGAGCAATTAGTGGAATGAAGATTGGGTGGGGGAGGGGGGCCGAAGTACTCGGAGAAACCTGCCCCAGAGCCACTTTGTCCATCACAAATCCCACACGACCACACCCGGGCTCGAACCCGAGCCGCCGAGGTAGGAAACCAGAGACTAACCGCCTGAGCTAGGGCGCGGCCTTTCTCTCTCCCGTTTACTCCACACGGTCATGATTATGCATTGTTTGTGAGACATCAGTCAGTTTTCTCTCACAGTATGAGATACAGACATCAGGATAACCACGTGTCTGTGAGAATAAACAGACTGCATACTGCGCAGGCGTTGAATTTAGCAGCGGTCGGTCACACAGTGATTCACTGAAGCTTGTCCTGAACAGGCGAGTAGAGGGAATGACCGCCACGGATACACTTACCATCTTACGGTGAAAAAGGAGAGCGTACAAAATTGGCGAAAGGGAAATCACAGATTGATTTATGTATCCAGTCAACACAGTTCTAGATGTAAACACTGAAAAACTTAAAGAGTGTCACCAGAGTTACCGACACGCGTCTCCCCTAATCTCGAGACCTCTGCAAATATTTGTTCAGGTCTTTCTTATTTAGCGTGGAATCTACCGGCTTTCTTCTCCAGACCCTCTCTCAGAAGTTTGTCATAACTTCAGCATCAGGCATAATTGTTTTCATAACTGGACTACGAACAATTCTTTTTTTAGAATTGAGCACTGGATTTGCATGGAAAAGGAACATCGTGTAGATTTCTACACTCTTTCATTTTCTTATGAAGCAATTTCGAGGGACAAAAACCGAAAACTGGCTTTGACCATGGTTAAGAACGTCATTTTAAGTAGAATTATGAATAACCGAGTAAAAACATGTAGGCCTAAGAGTGTCACGATTTCTCACAAAATTGTAAAAATGTAAAACTATTCCTGTAACAGGCCCTGGAGGCCCATAGGATTGTGAGACGTTGAGGTTCTCACATTATCTAGACACTTGGCTCATAGATGGCGGTGAGGTTATCAACCTTACGCACCGGCCGCCCTTTACCCCTCAGGAAGATTGCTGGTACTCTTTTCTGTTAGAGGCTGAGTCTACTCCAGGGCCACAATGCGGCTGGAAGGATTCGGTAAATTGAAAAAATGCACCTCATCTGGATTCGATCCCGCGACCTTCCGGCTTGTAGCATAGTGCCTGAACAAACTACGCTACCGCATGCCCCCCCCCTCACAAAGTAGAATTACATAAAATGAAAACAAAATGAGGATGCCTTGTAGTCTCACGTCTATGAAAGTTCGTATTGTACCGTTTTGGGTCATGACGACGTTTATACATCCAGATGTTACCAACAGCTCGGAGGAACCTTCTCATTCCACATCCTTGCCAGTTCATAATTCGTTACCCATCCTGTCATTCGAACTACAGAAAGAGCCACTAAATAAGCCGTAAATAGTAAACAAAAGTAGCGGTGTAGGTAAAAAAATAAAGCTGCCCCTGTGTTTAACTAATTAAGCACTACGCCATGAAGGGGTATAGGGGAGTGGATGTATAGATCCACGTTTTCTTGACCTCGAAACTAGCTGGAGGTGAGTGGTCAGGTTCACGCCCCGGCTGCTTTACCACCCGGGAAAGAACCCCCGGTACCCACTGGATATGAGGTTGGGGGAACACCAAAGCCGGTCTGGACAAAGTGAAGAAGAGAAAACTCTTGACCCCATCGGGGCTCGAACTCCTGTCCTTCGGCCGTCCAGCCCGTAGCCAGTAGTAACCTAGTAGTAGTGTAGAAGGTTAACAAACGTAGTGGCCATATTCAAATTTTGGAATTGCTGAATTTTTGTCTAGATATTAGGAAGAGGTGAAAATTTATGGAGTTATACAAGAAGAAAAGAAGCGATATTAGTTCATTGCACTTACTTAACACCACATCTGACACTTAAGTAACTTGACTGATGTTTTTGTGAAGCAACTGCAGAGACTGAGAGATTACATCGTTATTAACCACATATTAAGTCACTTTTTTATGATTACGGCAAGTATTTTATTGGAGAGGAGTGCTGTTGCACACAAAGTGAGAATGAAGAAATTTTCTCAATCATATTAGCCCTATTATTGTGAGAATCCGACTGTTTGGAGCGAAAGGCAACGTTAGGCGATTGGTCCTGTATCCCCCAGCATGACCCGGTACTAAATCACCGAGTCCTAAGTGCTAGCATATTGAGCTACCGAGGCCGAAATGAGCGCAAGTGACAAGTCAAATCATAATCTGTTTTATTTTATCTTGTTCATATAAAACTGTCTGGCCCTTATGAATTTCTTCCTCCAGAGCAGGTACTCCAACTTGGGGTTCAGGAAGACAGTTGAACATTCGCTCTGGAAGATGGCAAAGATATTATTTGCCACAACCTTGAAAACATTTCAACAAAGGTGAGGCGAAAATCCAAAATTCGATCCTACGCATGGAATACGTTGTTATTATATAAATAGTTTTTAGTAATATTTATAATTCTAATGGCAAATTTTGATGTAGTAAACTCTGGTAGCTCATTTTGTTCTTCCGTTCGTTAAGTTCTATATATACGTATCTTGTGAAGAGGAAAAGGATTACTTTCTGAAGATTCATTCGTTCATTCATTCATCAATGACTCTGCAGCCATCTGTTGGGCCTGTCCTCTTCATCAGTTCCGTAATCTTTTTTATAGAGTCGGTAGCGCTCCTTGGACGGGGGATCAGCCCGTTGCAAGGTCGCTACCTGCACACACAACAACACAAACACTGAATAACACACATATAGACATCCATGTCTTTAGTGGGTTTCGAACCCATGATCCTAGCGTTCGAGCGAGCGAAGACCGCGCGGCCACTGGGATCGGCACTGAAGATTTTAATCCGATTTAAATAGAACATGAAATCGTCTCTGGGTTGGAACCGAAATCTCCGAAGAAAGCTTCAGAAAAGTGTACAATACATAAGTACATAAAGTTCCTAAATATTTAGTGCCCGAATAACCGGTCCGGGGTAAATACTTATGAACATCTGTGTACTTGTAATGTGTAACATAACCGAAATGACAGGAACCTGCTGCTGCTACTGGACCTACCGGCAGTAACAAGGTTATTGCGTCTATTTGATCTCTATTTACTTCTAATGTACACTATTGCTTAAACAAGATAATTATAATAATATCACGATATAAATATATTTAAACAATTAACTAACTATGGATTTGAAACATTTTCTTCTGTATCACAGAAATGGCTACTGAAACGAAAGCAAGTGCGTATTTTATTACATTTTAAAGCAATAATTGTGCAGATATATGTTATGGGTCGCTATTGCTTCACAATAAGTGACTAAGCCCACAGCGCAATGTACTCGCGCAACAGTTTACATTTAACAGATTAGCGGAGATTTTTATTTACTTCTAAGGCACCTCAAAGTTCATTATTCTTTTTACAAAATACTTATAGTGGGCCACACTCCAAACCATCTGAAATGAGTAAACATATTCATACATCATTTCTCCAATATATATTTTAATATTATCATACCATCCCTTCAACGCCAACATCTCACAAGTGGTCTTCTCCCTTCATCCTTTCGTGTAAAATATTTGTCAGTTCCTAATTTTCTGTAATTAATTT